GCCATTAAAACCCCCCCCCCCCCCCCCCCCAAAAAAACAAAACAAAAACAAAACAAAAACAGCCACTGAATCTCGGCTTTCTCACCAAAAGTGGCATTCATTGCATTTCCTTTTTTCAAGATGTCTCTTTTTATTTTGGACATTATGAAAGCCATTTGTTTAATTAAAATGTTAGACAAAGTAGACAGAAATTAGCGTATAATAAATATAAAAAATATTTTTAACATAACTACATAATGATAATGACACAAAAATTGCACAAAAAAAAGAAAAGAAAAGAAACAACAACAACAACAAAAACAGTCACTAAATCTCTGTAAGCGGCATTCTCATCGACATCTGCTTTCAAAGCATTTCCTTTCTTCAAGATGCAGCAAATTAGCGGCATGCCAGGAAATCTCGTTTCTCTCTTTGAAAGAGCTCTCTGTGACTTCAATCTACATAACCAGCATCTCTTGATCTGCCAAAGTATGACATGGAAACAGAGTGCGAAATAACACCAATGCGTGTGGCCTGTTCGTCTGGGAGCGCTGCGGTGTTGATGTAATTTAAATTTAAATCTAGATTAAAGACACATCTCTTTGGCCAAGCATTCAAATAATGCATCTCATAATCTTTTACTGCAGTCATAATCTTTTACTGCAGTTATATCTAATCAAATGCACATTATTATTCGTTAGTTTGGGTTAAACAAATCATTTTTGCTGGGTTGGAACAGCAGCTACGCTAATTATGTTTGTATTTGTTTCTCTGTCTTTTGCCACGGGATTAACATCCCGTGGTAACTAGGATTTACACAAGCTTCAGTCTGGATCCAGAACACCTGAGAAGAGATGATGCAACCCCTCAGAGGACCTCAGATGATGCCAACCCTGAAACAACATACAGAACTACCACATTTTGCTATAAGTTTGATTGCATCATATAATAATTGCTGTTAATATTATTCATCGGCTGATTTATTACGTCTTATATTGATTTTTCCGTACTGCTGGTTCGTCTGGTCAGAGAACTGGCCCCCCGACTGAGCCTGGTTTCTCCCAAGGTTTTTTCTCCATTCTGTCACCGATGGAGTTTTGGTTCCTTGCCGCTGTCGCCTCTGGCTTGCTTAGTTGGGGACACTTCATTTCCAGCGATATCGTTGACATGATTGCAAAGATATTATTTAAACTGAACTGAGCTGGATGTTGACATCACTGAATTCAATGATGAACTGTCTTTAACTGAAAAATGAGTGTTTACTATTGTCATTTTGCATTATTGACACTATTTTCCTAATTAATGCTGTTCAGTTGCTTTGTCACAATCTGTATTGTTAAAAGCGCTATATAAATAAAGGTGACTTGACTTGACATGTAATTATCCAGGTTCCGCTGGCGGGGGGCTGCGCCTGCCTTTACATCTATTTAGCTTATGTTCACTACACACGTCTGAGCTCTGGTTTGATTTAGCATGTCATTTTCTGCGCAGCTCCTCTGTCAGACCCTTCTGTTTTTTGTGTTTGAGTGAAGCGGCTGGAGTCAGATTAAGCGCAACTATTCGATCTGCTGCAAAATCCAAAGCAAACTCCCATTCCCAGCCATGGACTTTAACGGTCAGGTTTGCTGACGCTTCTGGGAACACACAACACAGTTTTCAGCGGCTTTGAAAACGGGATTACATTTAGGCTTTGCTGTAAACAAAAGACACTGCTGGAAATCCAGCATAAGCTGGTAGCTGTTTTTTTTTGGAACATGGTAGCTGGTTTCTAAGTGGTCTAAACTTGCATTAGCTGGTGCAAGATGGTAGGCGAATGGTTCTCAAAGTGAGTGGCACATTGTAGAGAGAGACTTCCACACTTCACTTACAAACATTTAAATATACTGCGCTGACAAGAGATGTGAGAACATGTGAGATGTATTATTTTGAGTGAATATGACTCAAATTTTGGACTCGATTTGCACACAAAGCCAGCAGATAAATTCAGAAGACTTGAAAACTACACACAAATCATCACTTTTCTCGTACTTTTGAGGCTTGGCAATTGCAATCGCCATGTTGTGTTCCATGTTCTTTTTTTTCCAGAAAAATACACAAAAAATAATTTTTTCCCCAAAAACTTTTAAGATAACTGATATGTTATCTTACATATGACGAGCTAAAGTTTTGCCATTAACATCACCAAATAATGATCTTTTGTTGGTCAGATATGATGGACGATATTTTCCAACAAACAGAGCAATGTTTTGATAGCACCACAGAGACACTGTTTACACGTTTTGGGGGACAACAGCTAATGACCAGCTAATGACCGGCTTAGAGCAGCTAGAAACCAGCTCCCATGTTCCAGAAAACACAGCTATAGCATCTTAACTTAAACTGCATTGTCCAACAGAGATTTATAAGACTTCTGGGTAAACAATCATGCAGACTAAAATGAATCGTGCATATGCTTTCAATTTTATTTTTCTACAGTATACACACCATAACAAAGTCCCAATTTTCCCCAAACATCATCAAAATGCTTAAACTGGTCTCATTTTATTCCAAATGAATGCTTTGTGAATAGGATGCTATCGGCAAATGTGTTCAGATCTAATCTTTGCATCGCTGAGATTGCGTGTATTCTTCTCCGGTGTGATTTGCACAGGCAGCATGATTTGGCAGGCGGCTATTCTGAGCTTCATTCACTTGAGGTGTTAGTCAGACTAATCTCATTAAAACGCAGGGATTTTCTCCTCTCCGGCTCCTTCTTCCCATATGAGGAATTAGTCTCAGGTGCACGGTGACATGGCTTCATTCACAGAGCGGAGGAAAGAAACATGCTCTGCTCTGAGCCAGATACTGCCAGTCCAATGCATTTCACACTCTCATGTAGGCCAGATCAAGTACTGAGGAGACTGTTTTTAATGTGAGGTGAAGTACATGAAAGCAGCTTTCCACTTGAATCCAGGCTACATGGGTCAGCCGTGACCATTCTCACGAGAAGAATGGTAATATATAAAAAAATGCACAAAAACAGCACAATGAATTATTCAACTGAATCAGTCAAACTGACTTAGCAAATCAGACTGAATACATACATAGGATCAGTCTGAATCTTGGACTAAATTAGTCTGATAAGTCACTTCCTAGGTGAATGGTCTTGGATTATTTGCTCACAGAAGCGTACATTATTATGCCTGTCCAGAAATAAGTTTTAAAAATGGCTGCAAATAATTTGGTGAAAATTTAATTTAAAGAGTGTGTTTAAAGAAACTTTTTTTCATGTTTTTTATCATTTCTTTTATCAAAATACAGTAAAAACAGTAATATTGTGAAATATGAAAATCATCATGTCATTACTCCAGTCTTCAGTGATCCTTTAGAAATTATTTTAATATGCTGATTTGCTGTTCAAGAAATATTTCTTATTATTATCAATGTTGAAAACAGTTGCGCTGCTTAATATATATATATATATATATATATATATATATAATTTTTTTAATTTATTTATTTATTTTTTTTAATCTGTGATGCATGTTTTTGGAATTATTTGATTAATAGAATTTTCAAGAAAACAACATTACTGACACCAGAACAGTAGTGGGTAACACTTTAAAATAGGGAACACATATTCACTATTACTGAACAAACTCCTAATTTGCTGCTTATTAATAGTTAGTAAGTTGTTAAATTTAGGTATGGGGTGGATTAAGGGATCTAAAATATGGTCATGCAGAATAAGGCATTAATATGTGCTTTATTAGCTAATATGCTAGGAATATGCATGCTAATAAGAAACTAGGTAATAGTGAGAATTGGTTCTTAAAATAAAGTGTTACCCAGTAGTGTAATAATACGATAACAATATGTTGTGAAAAAAGGCAAAATCTCAATTTGTTCAACATTTAATTTCTTCAGTGTATAATTGAAGGAATTGACCTATTATTTCTCTTACCCATAATTATGCCATTGGGGTCCACAGGGGGCTGCCAGACCACCCTCACTTCTGTCAGACGCACCTCCGGGAACACAAGTCTCATAGGTGGTCCGGGAACTATTGAAGGGGAAAAGGAGATGCCAAAGATGAGATTTTATCATTACATGACTCCTGCAGTAATTACAACACCTATACACCTTATGGAACTCTAAAGCTTTCTCTTGAATTACAGCCGAACCACAAGCCCAAATCAGAGAGCTTTAATAGAGGCTATTTAGCTTTCAAAGCAGCAGCAGCAGCCCTAAGAGACAGCCTCTGAAATGGTATTTACGTCAGTATAAGGTCATTATAAAAAAATCTGGTTTGAAAAGGACAACAACAAAAAAATGTAACATTCATAAGACAAAAACATAAGGGATGAGAAGAAAGAGACAGTTATGACAGCACTCAAACTGTGTCAGTTTAATGAACATATTCCAGATTACATCTCGTCAGTGGAAAAGGCAGCTGTTTCCATCTGTAAGAGTGAACGCTCATGTTCCATCCATCTGTGCACAGAATTATTATTCTCTGATCCACCTTACTATAAAAATAATGTGAAGTCTGAATGAATAATTAAGAGTGTTGCATTAGTGGTTGGTTGCATGTTGCCACTGTATTCTGAGAGGTTACCAGGGTGTTTTAAGTGGTTGTCAGGGTGTTGCTATGCGGCTGCTAAGAAGTTCTGAGTGGTTGTCAGCATGTTGCTACAGAATGTAGTTGCTAGGATATTGTGGGTATTTGCCAGGGATTTGCTAGAATGTTGGTGGAAAGTGGTTGTCAAGGTGTTGCTTTGCGGTTGCAAATGTGTTCTGAGAGGTTGTTAACACAATGTTACAGTGTTATGGGTGGTTGCCAGATTTTTGCTATTATATGTCATTTCTTGAGATGTTCCAAGTGGTTGTTAGCACATTACTACAGAATGTGGTTGCTAGGGTGTTGCTATGTAATTTCTTGAGATGTTCTAAGTGGATTTTAGCACATTACTACAGAATATGATTGCTAGGGTTTTTTGGGTGGTTTCCAGGGTGTTGCCATGTGGTTGCTAAGGTGCTCTGAGCAGTTCTGGACTCTAGAAATTACTCTACAAGCCATGCAATTTGAAGTATAATTCATATTCATGAGTTACATGCCAAAGTCTCCTCAGTGTGTGTGGTTTGTTAATTCAAATCTGCTCTAGCAAACAGTACTAATGATTAGCTGTTGGCCAGCGAGCTGCGAAATCTGGTCATTCTCCCCTCAGACTTTGTCGGCTTGTCCTTGACCAGAGTATTTAGATCCATGCTGGTCCATGAGTGCTGCCACATGGCACACCTTCTCACTCTACCCCTCCTAAAGCGGGCCATCACTGAGTCACATGCTTCACTAGATGAGCAGAGCTCTTATCATTGTATGTTAAGACTGAAGGGAAACATTGCCAAGGGGCGATCTGCTGCCTACAGGAGGAGACCAATGATGACTGGAGGATGTAATGACTGTAGCGCCCTACTCTGAAGGACACAGTGTGCCACCGGTGCTAAAAGAGGGCTCTGCTAAAGACCTTGATTAAGGGGGATGTTTCCTTCCCCTGCTGGTGCGTCTCACCTCTAAACATACACACTTTCCCCTCTCTCCAAGGCATCTGTGACAGGCCTATACATCCACTAACAGGACACCTGTGGAGCGACAGATAACATGGAGGGAATCCAATAACGGTGGTGGGCCGGTGCTGTGCCTGAGGTACACACACATAAGCAGGAAACGACACCGCTGCTGTGTTGTACGCGAAACGCCGTGCTGTACAAATGCGGAACAAACACAATCAACGTTGTGCCGTCTCTCGACCGCTTCCTTATTTCTCTCTGGATTCCCCGAGTCGATGCGGTCGGTTAGGCGGATTCTATGTTTCATTTCCTGGACATTATGGAACTTATAAATCTAACACATCTGACAGCGATTTGATTTGTATTGCTTTTTGCAGTCATAGTGTGTGGGACCGTAGGGACACATGTCCACAAGAAGAAGCTCTTACAGTAGAGCGTGCTTTTCCCAAGATGCCTCTTTCTCTTACCAATGTATTGCTAACATTCATCATCCTGTTATCAGCCCTCCGCGTGCCACGAGGTTTATATGGAGATTACACGCACATGAGGAGTCTTTTAACTACTTATGATGCACGACTCATGACTCGAGTGCATTTACTCGGCGTGAACCTACAATTAGAAAATCCGTTTATTAATTACTTCTTTAAGCGAGTCACTAATAAATGCACTTTCCTGCCAATCTTTTCAGAGATGTGCGAACACTAACGACTTTAAGGCACGCTAATCTAATCGCAGTGCAAAAAAGAAACGTCCAATTTGCTGCTTGCTTTGCTGATACGGCTCTAATTAAATCCAATCACAGGATGTTTAGGTTTACAGACAAAAGCCAGAATGATCACTCGCGTCCGGCCGAAACAGGATGGACGGCCCGTAGCATCTCCAACCCCCTGCGTACGGCGTCCGGGGCCTGGATAAAATGCTGCTGTACCATCAGTCCTTAATGAGGTCTGTTCTGGAGGGGAATTTAAAAGGCAAACACACAGATAATTGCTCCAAGGTCGAGTGAGCACAGACGGGAGGACATGCTGCCCGGGCCCTGCGCTTCCATCATAAAAGTGCGGCGGTGAAATGGCCCGAGCTCTCTGCGTCTGTCAAGGGGGAGCTCCATTTACAGCCACGTTTAAGAGAGTCCTGTTATCTCTTATTCAGAGAGCAGCACAGAGCTGACCGCGGGCGTGCAGACTCCATTAATGTGACTCTGTAGCCGGCTGGATTAAGGGCTGACCCCTGTATTTCACATAGTGGGCTGCTTTAAATAGCTCTCACAAGCTGGGGGAAAAGGCTTTTATTGCTATCCCCCATGACGTCCTCTCTTGTGATAAGATTTTGGGTTTGTGAAGCAAGCTAAACTGCACAATGTGACATATGTGATTCAGTAATAGTGTAGTTTTAGCTTATGACTTATAATATTTTCATTAACAGTACCATATACACAAATTACATGATCCAGAGTCCAGACATGCGAACATATCCAGACTAATATATTTACAGCATATACACCTTGAGATAGATAAAACTAAACTAAACTAAACTAAACTAAAAACCAAACCAAAGAATAAACTAAAATAAAAAATAAATAAAATAAAATAAAAGAAGGATTGGTAAAGGTCACTGGGACAGTTAATTACTCTAAAGATTCAAACCCAGTTCAAAGCTCAATTTTCACCGGATTGTAATCTGAATTTGAATTATGTTTTTCAAATGTCTATTACATTTGATTCCCCTTAGTCTTAGTCTTGTATGTGAGGTTTACAGTCTAGTTCAATCAAATATTTTATTTCCATTAATTTCTTCCTTTTCCATTGAGATATCTAGATAACCAAATCATTTCTAAGTAAAGAACTCATGGCAGATGGTTTATATTTAATATTACTTTTCCAAGTATAACATGCTTGAATGAATGAAATCAGCTTTGAACATGATATAAATTACAATACAGTACTTCATATGAGCACTCTATATTGCTTTATCTGACTAATCTCACGGTACACTGAGTATATCAGTTGTTTCTCTGGAACAGCCTTGAGGGGGGCCTTATTTGTGCCATTTCCCAAAAACATATTTCTGCTGTAGTCTGTCCCTTATGGCCCTGTTGGCTGTATAGCAATCATATAAGAGTGCATTAGTTCCAACTGTTATCTGTCTTTAATCCTGACCGGAGTGAATCACTGCTGTAATGGATAGCAAACTATCATACCTCTCTTCTGAAAGCTTTCATTCCTCAAATTCCTTAGCCAGCCCTTCAAAGTCTATTTAAGTTGCAGTCCATAAAGTAAACATTTGGAGGCCATCCTTGCCAATGGAGTTTGTACTGTCTGTATTGGTTTACCTGTCTATACCAAATCTAGTCTTAAAAAAAAGACAGTGAGCGAATCAACTAAGCGAACACAAAGGCACAGAATGTACACTAAAAACAAATGAAGCATCAAAGGCTATAGAGGACCTTCAAAAAAGTGTCTGAAAGAGCTTAAGACTAAATGCCATTTCATCTTTTTTATTCTATAAAATCCAAGGCCACATCAATCTGTGCACTCTTCGTGCGCAGAGCAAATGCCCATTACTCATGACAGCCCATAAACTTACACTGCTTGGTCAAGGAGCGTGCACATAAAACAGAGTTACAGCATTAAAGGGATACTTCATCCAAAAATGAAAATTTGGTCATTATTCATCCTCATGGGTCTCTCTTGGAACAAAAAATAAATACCGTATTTGGAATATTCTTAAAGGGTCATGAAACCCCCGTTTTAGCACTGGTTAGTTCTCACCACAGGTTTAAAAAAATGTTAAAAAAAGTGGGCATGGTTCGCAGCGGAGCAGAGGAGGAGGAAGAGGGGAGACAGACAACACACACAGCTTCGCGTTCAGACAGTTTCATTTCGCTCTTTGTGTGATATATATATATATATATATATATATATATATATATATATTGTGGCGTTTATATAAGCCTTTTGACGAGTTGTGTCACAGAGCTGTAAAAACGGTTATGCTCACCAAGTGAATGAATCGCGTTTGTCATGAATAATTTAATAGACACCGACGTGTCATCTATGTACTATAGTCCATTGCCACGTCACAAATTGTGACGTCAACACAATGTAGATTTAAAACCCGGAAGATGAAAATAGCACAAAAAAGCTTAAAATTAACCAGTTTTCTCCAACAGTTAAAATTATCGGATGCTAACATTGTCTTCTATGATGTGCAACACAAACACCTCATGACAGTTAAAACAACAATGACAGTTCAGTGATGTTTTAACTACACAAATTATACACGCACAAAAAACACCTTACAAGTCTTCTGAGGCCACACTATTTAAATGAGGAACAAACCCAATTTAAGTCATTAATAATCTTGCCCAGCAATTTCCTGAGAAATGCTGACAGTTGAACCCGTATTTGTGAATGAATCAGCCCAATTTGTGAACCAACTGGTTTTTATTGAAAAGAACAGGGTCAAAATGTATTCAATGATTTTGATTCACAAGTTCAACTCACAACTCACTCAAGCATTTTTTACAAGTCACTGAGGAAAAAGATGATCAGATAATAATGATTTATATTTCAATCTTTTCCTCACACAAAGCTTTTGTGTGGTATCCGAAGACTTTAAATATTGCACAAAAGTTGATTACTTCTTTTAAGATGGTCTCTGGTGTTTTTTTGTCATTTTTGCAGCCTGATGAACAGATGAGGTGACTATGAATGTTGTTGATGAGCTGCATTAAAAATTATTTTATGTCCCAAACAAAAAAGAGCATACAGTTTTGGAATGACATGAAAGTGGGTAAATAATGACAGAATTTTTGGAGAAGTATTCCTTTAAACTCCCTGTGTGGTCATTAAATTGAATCTCAGTGGTGAAACATGAAAGGTTGCTCACCATCATCCTTGGTCCTCTCCAAGACTGAGGGGCTGCTGAGCTGCCCATCTCCAATTCGTGTGAAAGCCAAAACTTGGATTTCATACTGGACGTATTTACGCAGGTTCCTCAGTAAGACAGACTTTGTCAGGTTGCCTTTAACCACATTCACCTGTGCCTCCGAATCTGAGTCTTTCTCTTTGTACATAACCTGAAAGAATAAGTATATTAAGCACGATTATAGTTCACATCACTGTTGTGTGATTTTGTGATTGTGACTGACTTTAATTTAAGATCACATTAAATACAAACACACAGGGATAGCTGTTAGTAAGGCTGAATGGCATGAGATTTGTTCCTCTGGGTCCATTGTTCAGCAGGCTGCTATTTTTTTTCTCTCGTCATAAAGCCTCCTGCCTCAATTACTGTTGACTTTAAACCAGAGCAGCTTTTCTGAACATATGGGTGCACATCCAGATCTAACTGCAAATATTTGTCTTTCCGCATGTGTCAGACTTTCAATTAATTCATTAATAAACCTTTTCTTTACTTAAAATGAAAATGAAACGGTACTGGAACAAACATTAACTGCTTTAGGACTTATAAGAAAAAAGAAAAGTGCATAAAATGTTCAAAGGATAATATCAAACTTTTAAAAAATCCTTGATTTTTCATCATATGGCCCCATATTTCAAAACTGCAAAAATAATTTTTCACATCTTTTCACATTGAGGACAACCGAGGGACTCATACGCAACTATTACAAAATGTCACTCACTGACACTCACTGATGCTCCAGAAGGAAAAACGATGCATTAAGAGCCAGGGGTGTAAACTTTTGAACAGATTGAAAATGTGTAAAAAATGTTTTATTTTGCCTTAATATCATATTTGTTCATGTAGTACTGCCCTTCAGAAGCTACAGAAGATACATACATGTTTCCCAGAAGACTAAATAAGTTCTCACCTTAATGCATTGTTTTCCCTTCTGGAGCATCAGTGAGAGTTTGAACTTTTTGTAATAGTTGCATGTAAGTCCCTCAGTTGTCCTCAGTGTGAAAAGATGGATCTCAAAATCATAGTCATTTTTGGAAAGGGTTCAAATTAGGGATGTCAATTTTAGATCATTCCCATAATCGATCGTCATTCAAATGAAAGATTTATTGACAATTAATCGATCGCTGGTTAATCGTGGACATCCATAGTTCAAATACACAAAATAATTTGTGGGACCTGAAGGATTTTTCCGAAGAAAGGCGCACAGTTTAACTCTTGTGGACTATATGTAAATGTCTTTTATGTGAAATATCTTATTCAGGTTAGTACTAAATAAAAAATAAATATAATATAATATAATAATTTTGGTAAAATAATTTAATAAATAAGGTATGCGTGTGTATGTATATATATATATATATATACATATATTTTGCTGTCAAACGATTAATTGCGATTAATCGCATCCAAAATAAAAGTTTTTGTTTGCATAATATATGTGTGTTCTGTGTATATTTATTATGCATATATAAATACACACACATACAGTATATATTTAAAAAATATTTACATGCATTTACATGTCTAAATTTATATTCATATAATTTATATTATAAATATATTAAATATATAAACAACCTATTTTTCTGAAATATATACATGCATGTGTATGTATTTTCATATACATAATAAATATACACAGAACACATACATATATTATGTAAACAAAAACTTTTATTTTGGATGCGATTAATCGTTATTAATCGTTTGACAGCACTAATATATATATATATATATATATATATATATTAGATTGATTCATTTTAAGAATAGTACAGTACAGCTACAAAGGGTAGTTATTATAGGAAATGTTTGGTTTCAATGAAGAATAAAAACAATGCCTCCCCTCCTCAAGAGAAACAACCATCAAATCTTTCATGTCATTTCATCATACAAAACACAGTTTATGGGGTTGATCTTACATGATAAAAACCTTTATTCACTTCTGAGACGCTTATTATACTGAGCCAAGGGCTCCTTCAGCAGACATTGTTTCAGAATACCTCAGCGCACTACTTGACATCAGTCTGAGGTCATTTTCTTTTGTGTGAAATTACAACGAATAAAAAAAAGACAAAACAACAAGGCAGAAGCTACAAGCCACCTTGTATCCGAGGATGTTGCCGTTCTGTTCATGCTCAGGAACCGAGCCCCAGGTTACCAGGATGCGACTGGAGCTCATGGCCTCCGCCGTCACATTTTCCGGAGCCCCCGATGGCACTACGCAAACAGAGAAAGACAAATCACACTCCCTTATCGCACTGTGCCTTAACACATGGCCCCGAGTACTGAGTAAACTCACGTAGATTAGTCACCTCTCCAATGTCATAAGGGGGAAAAAAAGCAAACAGCATTAGCGTGTAAACAGCAAACAAGAGTTTGAGCGCGAGGAGACAGTGAACAGACCACTAAAAGATGGCAAACCTTTAACACCAAGCCTCATATCAGACAGCACAGCCAGCCCAGAACGTCTCTACGTGTGGGCTATTAGCCACACAATTATATAATGACTCTCTCCACAGACAAACTTCATCATCCAAGTGCAGCCTTTCAAAGAACTAATGTTGAAGTGTGCAATTTCTGATCCACTAGTGGCACCAAATGGAATTGCAATCTGTTTGAATGGGACAACTAGGTCAGGCATAACAACATTAACTCATTTATTTATTCATCACCTGATCATCCAAACCCTGGAAGATGAAAAGTGTGTTTAAAACTTGTTTTTACTTGTCATACTAAGGGTTATGGATTTAAGCTCCTCAAATATTGAGGCTTGTTTAGAGGAGGTTGACTGTTACTTTAATTGATCAGACTCTCAATTTTTTACCAAGTGGAAATATAATTAAATTGTGGAAGAAAAAAACAGTTAGATTTAGTAGTTTCACTAATGTTCAAAAGTTGGGCTAGTTGAGATTTTTTATACATTTTTAACAGTCTTTTATGCTCACCAAGGCTAAATGTATTTGATCAAAAAATGCAGTAAAACAATAATATTATGAAATAGTATTCCAATTTTTTATTCCTGTGATGCAAAGTTGAATTTTCAGCATCATTACTCCAGTCTTCAGTGTCACATGATGCTTCAAAAATCATTCTAATATGCTGATTTGCTCCATTTCTTATCATCAATGTTGAAATCAGTTGTGTTGTTTAATATTTTTATGGAAACTGTGATACATTTATTTTCAGGATTCAGGATCTGAATAGAAAGTTCAAAAGAACAGCATTTATTTGAAATAGTAATCTTTTGCAACATTATAAATGTCTTTACTGTCACTTTTGATCAACTGAATGCCTCCTTATTGAATAAAATGATGAATTTCTTTGGGATCTGTAGACCTGGGCTAGCAACCACCCAGAACTACTGCATAGCACTGCCCTGCAAGCAAACCACAAAACCCTAGCATTGTGGTGCTGTCTTTTGCATGCGTAAACATCTTTCTCATTGTTTACAAAAAATTTAAACATATTTACAATTCAGTCTGATATCACCAGTGACACAGAAATGACACACTTCACCTTTAAATAGCATATTTTTGAAGTTTACGCTGTAGCCATTTGGGGCCATAAATCTTTCTTGAGTGTATCTTGCAGGGAGCAACGGTAAAGATAAGTAGCGACATCAGGCAGCCAATCACCTGGCTTCTTATCTGCAGTGTAGGCAAGCATTCAGAGCAGCTCTCCAGTCCGACAGAGTAAGTGTGAAGTGAGGGGCTGTAATGGTGATCACATAAAGGAAATAAAATTTCATTCTGCGAACCACCTGCTTAGATTTGAGAATATGATTATCCTAAGAATGGAAATTTCAAGATGCTCCCTCTGCATCACTACATCCGGGGCTCATCCAGGGATGGGCAGTATTTCAGATACATGTATTTAAAATACGTATTTGAAATACAAAATACTATTTTGTATTTTGTATTTGAAAGCCTTCGGCAAAAATCGAATGTAATTTGTATTTAAATACATTTAAGATTAGTATTTTTGTATTTTCAAAATACATAAAATACTTTGTGCCAGTCAACCTCTTTATCAGGGTGCTGATTTAGTTCAGACACACCCCCTCCCCCAACCCCAACATTCAGCTGTACAACTCCATTCAGTATTGGGTGAGTGACTTTTCTGGAATAAGATAAGGTGAGGATGTCATGGTCAATTGTACATGTTGATTAAAGTTAAAATCGTGCATCATTCAGATTTTCCGTCAGTTAACATGAAAGAATAAAAGAGCACTGACAAGGGGAAAAATAGCGTTAGCCAATCAGTTTTAATA